CGCCCGCCCGCCTAGTCCCCGCCTGGGCCCGGCCGCACCTTGGCGGCCGCCATGGGGGCGCGGCGGCGGCGGCAGCTCGGCTGGCTTGGTCGTCGCTGGGTCCGCGGCCTCTCGGCAACTAGTCGTAGCTCTTTCCCTTCGCGTCTGGCGCCGGCGCCTCCCGACCGCCCGCTCTTCCCTCCGCCCCGCGACCCGAACCCCGACCCCTGACCCCGGCGGCGGGAAACGCGCTCAGATTCAAAACCAGCGCAGCTTTATTGGCTCAGGCGGCGTACATTCTCATTGTCCGGCCCGCCCCGCACTTCCCGCCAAAACGCCCGCGGCGCATGCCCGGCCCGCCCGTCAGCTAGGGGAGGGCGCACTTCCGGCGGCCCCCGCTCTTACCTCCGTCTCCTGACCGCACGCGCCCCTGGCGCTGGCGAAAGTGGCTGAGAGTCTGAGCCGGCGCGTGGCGATGACGTCACCGGAATCCGGAACCATAGAGATTCGTGGCCTCGACGGCACGCTCCGGAGGACTAAAAAGCAGCTGGCGAGGCGAGTGGCCGTCACGGGCTCATGGCGAGCGGGTGGTGCAGTCCCATGCCCGAGACCCGGACCTGAGCACCAGGGATTCCAGTCCTGCCCCCGTTTGGGACGCAGCCGGGGGCAGGCCTTGCAGCGTCGCACCTGCTTTGTAAACACCTCCCGTGTGACAGACCCGGGGCTAGACGGTGAGGCGGTCCTCGTGGGGGCCCCCGGTATAGGCGGCAGACGGCCCGAACGATGAGTGACTCTCTCGACAACGAAGTAAAGTGAAGGAAGACGCGGGGAGGAGATGGGGTGGGGTAGGAAGCCCGTGGGAGAAGACAGGTGAGGTGGGGAGGGAAGGAGATGGGGATGGGTCAGAATAGAAAGGGGGATCGGGTGGGGGGAGGGGCTGGGTATGGGGCCAAGGAATCTGTAGGGGTTGGTTCAGGCTCCGGGGTTCAGTGTTCAGCCCGTGCCTATCCTCACACAGGGCCTGGAGCCCATGGAAGGCTGCAGCCAGGAAAGCAACAGCGCTCTGGACAGCCCTGCAGCCCCAGCAACCCAGGAGAAGGAGGAGGAAAAAGACGCTGGGGCAGCTGAACGGCCCAGGCCTCAACCTGGGCTCTACAGCTACATCAGGGATGACCTGTTCACCTCGGAGATCTTCAAGCTAGAACTGCAGAATGTGCCTCGCCACGCCAGCTTTAGTGATGTCCGACGCTTCCTGGGCCGCTTTGGCCTGCAGCCTCATAAAACCAAACTCTTTGGGCAGCCACCCTGCGCCTTCGTGACATTCCGTAGTGCTGCTGAGCGGGACAAGGCCCTGCGCGTGCTGCATGGTGCCCTCTGGAAAGGCCATGCGCTCAGCGTACGCCTGGCTCGGCCCAAGGTCGACCCCATGGCAAGGAGGAGGCAGCACGAGGGTGAGGGTGAGCCGCCGGCGACACGGGTCGCCGATGTGGTGACCCCTCTTTGGACAGTGCCTTATGCTGAACAGCTTGAGCGGAAGCGGCTGGAGTGCGAGCAGGTGCTGCAGAAGCTTGCCAAGTGAGTGTGGGCATAGGGCACACATCAGCACCGAAGCGCTACTCTGCTGCATGCTCAGCCTGCCCCATGCACTATGCAGGACACCCACCACAGGGTCCGTGAGGTCTCTCAGGGAGCTAGACAGTAAGACCCTGTGTTACCAGGGGGGGACAGTGAAGTTTCAAGGAAGGGGCCCAGGCGCCTGGGCATTTGGGGAGTAGCCAGGCATGGGTGGGAGGCAGTGGGCAGTCCAGCCATGGATCTTCTTTATCCCCCAGGGAAATTGGGAGCACCAACCGCGCCCTGCTGCCCTGGCTGCTCACACAGAGACACAAGCACAACAAGGCCTGCTGCCTGCTGGAGGGGGTCAGGCCTTCGCCCCAGCAGGTCAGGCTGGACTGGGCAGCCACAGACCCCCATTCTGTATTCTTAAAGACTTTCCTTTTGTTCATCTCTCACATCTACTTCTCTGCTTTGTGTTTCTTCCTGATAACTTATCACGATTCTTGTCTCTTGCTTTTTGACTGCCAGTCTCTATGGGGACATTGGGGTTTCTCACTCACTGTGGTGTCCCTTCCAGACACTCACAAGTGCTTGACAGCCAGGGTAAGGTCCTGTCTCTTTCTGCTTCTCCCACTCTCCACAGACAGAGTACCGTAATAAGTGTGAATTTCTGGTCGGCATTGGGGTGGATGGGGAGGACAATACCGTCGGCTGCCGGCTTGGCAAATACAAGGGTGGGACATGTGCTGTGGCAGCCCCCTTTGACACCGTGCACATCCCTGAGGCCACCAAGAGAGTGGTGAAGGCCTTCCAGGACTTCATCCGGTGAGGACCTATGAGTGGACTCCTGGGAAGTCCTGAGGTGGTCTTGGAGCAGAGGGTATGGGTCCTGCCACAGATTGAGGGAGGGTTCTGGGGTGCCTGCTGTTTATGACTGTGGTAAGGTGGGAGGGCATAGCCAGAAGGGAGAGCAGGAAAGCTGCTCCCCCAATTCTGGTCAGCAGATGTCAAAAACTCAGGGCAACTTGTGGTTCCCGCAGGTCCACTCCATACTCAGCATATGATCCAGAGACATACTCAGGTCACTGGAAGCAGCTGACTGTACGCACCAGCCGCCGCAGCCAGGCCATGGCCATTGCCTACTTCCATCCCCAGGTCTCAGGCAGGGTGTTATTGCAAGGGGAGGGTATCTGGCCTGAGTTGGGCCTGGGCACAGCCTGATAGGGCCATTTCTACCACCTACTCTAGAAACTCAGCCCTGAGGAGCTGGCAGGGTTGAAGACCTCCTTGGCGCAGTACTTCATGGTGGGGCCAGGCAGGACAAGCGGGGTGACCTGCCTCTACTTTGTGGAGGAAGGACAGCGGTGAGGAGCTTGGGTAGGGCAGGGTGGATCCCTGTAGGGGCTGGTGACGCTGATGGATCTGCTCCTTCGCCCACAGAAAGACTCCCAGCCAGGAGGGCCTGCCCCTGGAGCACGTGGCTGGGGACCGATGCATCCAAGAGGACCTGCTCGGGCTGACCTTCCGGATCTCCCCTCATGCCTTCTTCCAGGTGGGACACATGGGAGGCCTGATGGAACATCAGGATGTGGTGGGAACAGAGTGGGCTAGGATGGCAACATGGCCTTGCAGAGATCTGGGAGGGCATCCAGGCAGGGGAGCCACAGAGCAAAGGTTGAGGTAAAAATTATTTGTCACTGAGATACACTTAGCAACAACTCCTCTTGTCACAGGGAGTTTGAGGAACAGCCACCAGTGCATGGCACACTTTACCACCATGGGAGGACACTGCTCTGGGCTTGGCAGGAGGGAGGCTTTGGTGGCCTTTGGGCCAGGGGACACCATTTCAGGCTCACTTTGGCTGCTGCAGGGAGGCTATGGGGAGAAACCCTTGCAGGAGATGTGGGGAATTGGAGGAGGTGAGGACCCTCTTTTGGAGACAGGCCTGGCAGGATCAACCTGCTAGAGGCCAAACATGGGGGTGGGAGTCAGGATGACTTCAGGGATCCTGTTGGGAGGCAGAGGAGCCCTCTGCTGTTGTGGGGAGGGCAGGACCCACTGGGGTCCCTTGGAGTGTGAGGCCTGATGGGGTTGTGGGGGCCCTATGTCTCTGCCGCTCAGGAGAGAAGTTCCTTATCATGGTGGGTGGAGGGGTGTTGGCATGGAGTTGGTTTTTAAAGCCAAGAGACTGGGTGAGGTCATTGGCATTGTGTGGCTTGAGAGGCAGCCCAAGGTGGGCACAGGGAAGATGGTAGGCACTATAGCTAGGGGGTGAACTACCTGGGCCCTGGAAATCTTGTGGAAGGAATGAGCCAGGAATCCAAGTGATGTGTGAATGTTGGAGCCTGCCTTTGGGCCTCTGGGGCTGCTGGAGGGGGGGCCTGCACTTGGGCAGTGGAGCTGCTGACATCCTGGCACCACTGGTGCACCCTGCAGGTGAACACGCCTGCAGCCGAGGTGCTCTACACCGTCATCCAGGACTGGGCCCAACTGGACGAAGAAAGTACAGTGCTGGACGTATGCTGTGGCACCGGCACCATTGGCCTGGCCCTGGCCCGGGTGAGCCCTCTTGCCCCTGCCAAGGATGCCCCCCCATTGCCCCCACCTACTCCCAGCTTGAAGGTTCAGAGGGTGACCACCGTTCTGTCCCAGGCCCAGAGCCTCTTCCACTGCCCACAGTGCCTCACGCTCCTCACCCCCAAAGAAGTCTTTGGAGCAGGAGGAAGCCACTGTCTGTCTTTTCCCATTTTAGAAGGTAAAAAGAGTCATCGGGATTGAGTTGTGCCAGGAGGCCGTGGAAGATGCCTGGGTGAATGCCCATGCCAATGGTGAGAGCCTGCTGGTCAGCCATCACCCATTACATACCTCAGCCGTTGCACCTGGAATCCACCCCTTGCCTCCAAGGGCCCTTTGGGGGCAGGGGGCACAGAAGGGCTCCCTGTGTACCTCCTGTGTGCCCAAGTCCTAGGGTTGCCCAGTGGGAAGGAAGGGCGAGCAAGCTCCTTGACCAGTGGGTTCCCAAGTGCCTCCACCGTCTCTCAAGGCTGGTCTTGTGCTTGGAGGGTGTCTAGAGTCCACTGACAGGGCCACGCCACTCTCTCTAGAACTGAGCAACGTTGAGTTCCACTGTGGGAGGGCCGAGGACCTTGTGCCCACCTTGGTGAGCAGACTGGCCTCCCAGGAGCTTGTGGCTGTCCTGGACCCACCCCGCGCCGGCCTGCGTGAGTGGCTTGTTTGGGGGGGGTGGCACATCAGGCTGTGGGGTCTTGGGCCTTGGGAACCCAGCCTGTCTGTGCTTCCTTAGATTCCAAGGTGATCCTGGCTGTCCGCCGAGCCGAGAACCTCAAGCGGCTCCTGTATGTTTCGTGCAACCCCCGGGCAGCCATGGGCAACTTTGTAGAGTGAGTGCTGGGCAGGGGCCTGGGTGGACCAGAGCCCAGGAGCCCCTGGCCAGTCCTATGGAACTAACCCTGGCGCTGCTTTCCTTCCCACCACAGCCTCTGCAGGGCCCCATCTAACCGGGTGAAGGGCATCCCCTTCCGGCCAGTCAAGGCTGTGGCTGTGGACCTGTTCCCGCAGACGCCACACTGCGAGATGCTCATCCTATTCGAGAGGGTGGAGCACCCCAATGGCACAGGGGTCTTAGGGCACCAAGACCCTCCAGCCCAGCCCCCACCAGGACCTCCAGATGATACCTCACAGGAAACTGGGGCCTCCTTCTTGTCATATGTCCCAGGAGCAGAAGAAGCCAACCCTTCCACAGCAGGGCCCATCATGGGTGCAGAAGCCAAGGGCTCCTGACAGCCCTGCCACATCCCAGGTTGCTCAAAGGCAAGCAGCCTGAGGGTGCAAGACCCAGCTGCCTCACCAGGACCCACCTGTTGTTGGGGGCCACAAGCTCTGGCCAGGACAGGTGAGCTTCTGGGGCCTGTTCTCCCCCCTCAACCTCCCAAGTCTGTTCTGGAAAGGGCCAGAATAAACACTTGCTGAACTAAGGATGTTTTTGTGATAAGCTAGAACTGTGACACTGGGGCAGGGTCAGCAGGGACCCTCAGCCCCTCATCCACGGCTGGACCTCAGGCCCATGCTGGTATCCTTCCAGCCAGGCCTGGGTACAGCCAGTAATCTGCCCAGCTGGGGTGGGGGGTGGTGCTGGGGCTGGTCTCCAAAGTTGGGGGAGTGAGTGCAGAGAACTTGCCTTTTAATAAAATATTGAGCTCTATTCTTAAATCCAAAGAAGGGCAGAGACACAAGTCTCAGGACCAAGCACTAACTGGACATGCCAGTTGGAGAGCACAGGGTGATAGGCTGGCCCTGCCTACCTTACCCACCGTGAACAGCTCAGCCACTGTCCCTGCACCAGAGAGAAGGTCCTTCCCAAACCTCATTCCCATGGGCAACCTGCCCTCAGCCCAGGAGGGAAGCCACCTCCATGCAGTGACCAAGGAAGGACCTAGGGCCATGCTGGGGTGCTGTTTGGCTCCTATAGGAGCAGCTCTGACCAGCTGAGGGTACACAAGCCCCCAGCTCCCTATAGTCAGAAGAAACACCAACCATGACTTTTGGACAGTTTGCTTTATGCGTTCAATGAGGCTCACCCTTACAGCCGTGACCTGGCGCACAGAAGCAGCATCAGCACAGGCCCCCTGCCCTGCAACACAACTGTGTGTACACAGGACTTGCACCCACACATAGTGGACGGAGGGAGGATGCCAGAGACCCAAGGGGAACAGGGCAGCACCAGCTGTGGCGGCGCCTGAGACCAGCAAGGCCGCAGCAAGGCTCATTGGCCTCTAGGGTAACATGTGCACAAAGCTTTGGTTCACGATGGCGCCTCTGGATGTTTTAAAGACAACAGTCACGGTCAAGTGATTATTCACGGCTGCAGACAGGAGGCAAGACCAAAGCAAATGTCTAATTATAGCAACTTGATTTGGGGTTTTCTTTTTTAAAGGTCAACACAGAAGCCAACCTCAGTCACAGGTGGTGAAGGGCTGTGCTGCTGTGGGTGGCCCACAGGCTGATATTCTGTTCTTACTGATCATAAGCGCCATCAACACCATCCACAGGGGCATGGTGGGGGAAAGATGCCACAGAACGTGAGGGTGCAGCCTAATGCTGCATCTATGGGTGCACCATGAGCACACAGCACCTTGAACGGGTGCTAGGGACTGGGGCGGCATTTGGCCGCTAACACCAGGGGCCTTAGCACAGCCAGTGCCATGGGACTCAAGTATGAACACACCTCTACTCCTGCACCTGTCCATAGGTGCTGAAGAGCCAGCTGGGCACCGGGCGGCTGCCCTTGAAATTCAGAGAAGCTGTTTTCACTGGGAGGCAGGGCAGCTGCCACCAGGCATTCGGCCAGCTCTGGATCAAGAATAAACTGCGCTGAAGGCCCTAAAGGAGTCCACTTGCTAAGTGCATGATTCCAAACCTACCTTCTACTCTCACTGTAAAAGTTTCTTTCCAAATGCTAAAATATCATAAAAGCTTTAAAAATTGATGGGTGGACAGATGGACTTGACTGCAAAAATCTTTGTAAAAAATTTGCCAGCGGCCAGCGAAGGCGGGGCCTCGGTGTCTGGGGAGGTGTGCTGTTAGGGTGTTAAGACTTGATTGGAAAAGTGGATCTCAGTCCAGCAGCAGGCAGGTGACACACCAGGAGGCTGGCTGGACGGCCTCACTGGCATCATGTCAAGGATGAAGAGTGACCACCTTGATGGTTTGCCTGCAATCTCTGAAAAATAGTGATCCTAAAATTGTGTTTATTTTAAACCAAAAAGGTCTGAGATACTCCTTTCTATTATAAATTTTTCAGAGAAAAAAGGAAATCATGGAAGGCAGGTAGAGGATGGGGTTGCCATGTGCACCGTCTGACCAGGTCCCTGCAGTAGCTCTGCAGGAACCCTGGGCACAGGGGCCACCTGGCATTGTGGGTCAGCCATAGCCACAAGCCTCGGCCGTCCTTTCTCATCTCATCTGTCATCCAAATATCATTTGTTGTCAGGGCGCATTCTGTACTAAAATTCATGAAAACCTTCATAAAAACAGTCTGTGCAGGTACATACAAATAGGGTCTACAGCTGTCTAAGATATCAGCTTCTACCTGTGCAGTCACTCAGAGTTGATCCTCAAACACATCCGTTCAGACCTGGGAGCAGCTTCCAAGGGAGAACTACTCTTGTGTGTGCTGCGTGGCCATGGTTGTCCCTGGGCCCTAGGACATGCTGGCCACAGATGAGGGCCAGAGGCTGGAGGCCCAACGCTGCAGTGAGCGATGTGTGACTGGTGGTCTCCCTGGCAGCGCCACCAAGCCCTGGCCCCTGCCGCCTCCCTCACACATCCACAGTGCACAGGGGCTCGCCACCAGGCTGGGCAGACGCTACAATCGACATCTTGGGCTTCTTCCGAGTCTCCTCCTAGAAAACAACAAAGGTCTGTTACCACCAAGGTGGACTCAGCAAGAGGCTCAGGAGGGGGATAGGGTGGAGGGTGACCCCAGCAGACCAGTGCCAGGAGGCCCTGGACAGCAGTGCTTATGATGCCCGGCTGGGAGGGGGAAGAAAGGCCTGAGAAGTGGGTCTCCCTGGAATGCCATCACAGAGTATCATGTGCTGCCACTTCCCTGGGAATCAGGACACATGCCCAGACATGAAGAACTCAGATGAGGTCACAGCGACAAGCCGAGATTCACCCCCCTGGGTGGGTGTTTCCTCCCACCCCAGCCTTTGCTTGCCCTAGGGCTCAGTCAGCTCCTTCTCCACAGCCCCTCTCCTGACCAGCGGCAGGCTGGGCAATTCTGCTAGCTCCAGGCAGACAAGGCCCACCCCCACCTGAGAGCAGAACAAGGCACCTCCTGGACTGGGAGACCATGGCAGCAGACACATAGTTCTCAGGCTTTGTATACAGGCCTTGGCTAATGCCACAGCTAAAAGCGCTCCTAGCCCAGAAGGCCCAGGTGGAGTCATGAATGGCCACATGGATAGTACCTGGGGACAGGGCACACCACTGTCATTCTGACAAACCCCTCTTGGGGTGGGACACTCCAAACAGCTTTAGGAATCTTCACAGGGACCAAGCCCTACCCAGGTTCAGTTGTTCTGGGAACCTTGTGAGTTTCCTAGTGCATGATCCCTTCCTGTCCCTCGAACTCCTGGCACAGAACCAGGACCCAGTCAGCCCACAGGAGCTGTGCCCTTCACATAGTCTGGCCTGCCACCTCTCTTAATTTAACTGAAAGCAAACTGATTTTGTACAAGTATCACACATGTTGAATCTCAAGGAAAGGTCAGCCTCATCTGGAAGGAGGATCCAGGCATTTCCAGGATGTCAGGGGCAGATTCTGGGGTCTCATGTCCCTCCACAGCTGCCATAGGTGCCCCTTCCCTTAGGAGACAGAGGGACAGTGGGCACGGGACAGTGCTCACCCTCTCCTCGGCCAGCCTCTTCATCTCCTCCTGAAGCTTGCTCAGGATGTGCAGATTGGGCTTGTTCTTCTTGGCGTACTGTTGCAGCTCAATCACACTCTTGTCCGAGGTCTCCTGGGGAGCACAGGGCCTCACTCTCAGGACTGTCCAGGCCGCAGGGCCCACAGCCTGCCCACTGCCCAGCAGCAGTGTGCCCCTGTGACCCAATGAGGCAGGAACACCCAGAGCATGGCAGGCACATAGTAGCCAGGAGCTACGGCCACACAACTGCATACTGACTGCCGGCCCCTGACCACACCTGGCCTGCTGACAGCATGGGGCAGTCCACAGCTCCCTGGCCCACTTTCTGGCCACACCTCCCCACTTCTGCCACCTTCTGAGTGGGCAGAATGCCATGCCTCCTCCTGCCCTGGGCAGAGAGAGAGAAGTCAGGTGCTCTCTGTGCCCAGGGCCCTCAGAGTAGAGTGCCCACAGCATAGCTCTGGTGTGTACAGCACACTGCTGGATGAACACAGCCCAGCCTAGCCCATTGCCCCCAGACACTGATCTCTGCACATCCCATAATATGCACAGCAGTATCAGGCTGTCCTCAGCCCCTTCCTGTCTTAAGAGACCATCCCTGAGAGCACCTGCTCTACCTTGGGATGCCAGAGCTCTCCCTGTGCTGTGGCTGTGCCTGGGCTGGGACGACTCCTCCTCCAGCTTAGAGATGTTTCCCACCCATGGGCCCAAGCAAGGCTTACTTTCTTTCCCTCAGTATTAGCCCGAGACTGTACACAGCAAAGGCAAAAGCAAGATTTACCTACAATTCAAGCTGTTTTCCAAAAACATATCCTGAAGTTCATTGATGTACCTGGTGTCCCATGTGGCCTCCCTCACCCTGCCTTGTCCTGCCCAAAGCAAGGACCTCTTCAGAGATGGCACCAAGGTCACCATCTTGGGACCTGAAGGCAGCTGCCTTGCTCCTGGCCACTAGCTTGACCCAAGGGCCCACAGCACAGTCCTCAGGTTCACCTAACCTGTAGCCCCCACCCCTCCACACCTATCACCCCTCCACTGATTGGGATACCAATAACCCAGACGGCTTCTGTAAATATTACAGAGAAAATGAAAAACTTCAACACTAACCTCCCAGCACTTCCCTCCACCCCTTAGGTTTGGTTTACATTTTAAGATGTTGGCAAAGAGAGCAAAGACAGAGCAGACGGCACACACGTGCTCTTCAGTTAAAGGGAAACTGGCACTGGGAGCCAGGGAGAGCTGCCCTGGCATGTTCACTAGCCTTCAAGCTACTGGAGGTCCTCAACTACACAAGGTGCACTGCCCTGGGGAGGCCCTGCCCATGGCCTTGACTCTCACTATGGCCAACTCCCCACAAGCCATAAAGCCAGGCCCAGGATATGCTCCCAATCACACATACTTCACCGACCACTCCTAGCAGGCTCCAGAAGCAGCAGCTTGGGTGACCCCATCGCTGCCCACAAGGTCACAGATGGTACAGGAGAGAGGCAGCCGGGAGCAAAAGCAGAGGCTGACCAACCCTGTGCTCTGACAGCGGGAACCCAGACCTGAGCTCCAGAGTGGGAGAAGAAGCAGAAAAGCTGCCCTACAACCTGACGAAGCGTCCAGTTACCTGTTTGACCATCTTGCTGCTCTCACGGCCGTACATGCGCAATAAAGACCCCCAGTTCTTAACATGTGGGTGCAGCAGCTGAAGGATTTTCTGAGAGGCTAATTGTTTTCCAACTCTCTTATTCTTACCTATGAAGAGGAAAAGCAAACATGGAGAGGGGGAGTCACAAACATCCAGCGTTCATATGGCCACCTCGCCTAGACAGGAGTGCTCCTGCCCTCCCACTGGGCACCCTGAAGTCCAGTTGGGGCACATTCTACAGTGGGTGGCAGCCTTCTGCCACTACTCTGGGCACCTGTGCTTCATAGCCTTGAGATCAGGACCCAGCTGCAGCTGTGCAGAGTGGCCATCAGAGGCTCCAGGAGGTAAGGGCCTGCGCCCAAAGCCACACAGCCAGAAGGCCTCCTTCCTGCCATCATCCCACACTTCAGACACATGGACACAGAGCAATGCAGCCACAGGTGCCATGGGGAGAAAGGCTCCACCAGAAGCCTCCTGGAGGTTCCAGGCAGAAGTACGGCAGGTCCCAGGCTGGCCATGCTTCCCAGCAGCTCAGCCTAGTGGCTGGCGCCTGCCCAGCCTACTCAGGAGCACTGCAAGGATGCCTTTGGAGGTGCAGAGAAAGCCTGGAGGCACTTGGGTATACCCAGGTCTAAATATGGTTCTGTGATTTCTCAGGGTCAATTGTACGTTATTTTTACAACAGTTACACGAAGTTTTCTTTTTAGAATAAAGTTAAATTTTAAAAAGTGGTTATTTCAAACCACTTAAATAACATGATAAAAGAGAACAATAAAAAATAAAAAGTGATTACTTCAGATACAAAAGAGCACCGGTGGTGCCCACAAAGTCCAAAATGCAGAGGGGCAGGTGGCAGGAGGCTCTGCCTGCTGCTCTGGGAAACTAGCGCCTCCTCCTGCCACAGGGGCCGGAGGAATGGGAGTTAGATAGAGGAGGCGCAGGCAGGACGGCCACCAGTCCTGCCTCAGGTGGAATGTGTGGCGTCCAATGCACATGGCTGGGCAATGGCTGGGGACCAAGCCACAGAGGCAGGAAGCCACACTGAGGAGCGTTATCCCCAGCAGTCATCAGGAAGCAGGGGAGGAGGGTCCTTACACCACCCGCGCACTGTGTGCTTGCCACACGCCATGACGTATTCACTCTTCTGGTTTTTACCAGGAACCACTTCGAACTTGATGGATGTGTCACCCATTCCATGGTTTCTTCAAGAGAAAACAAAGACAACAAGATGGCATCAACTGAGGAGGAGCAAAGGACAGCTTCTTGGGAGGACTGCTTGCAAAAGCCCTTGAAAGGCTCTCTGAGGAAAAGGCCAACCATCTCCCCCAGCTGCTTCTCAGCTGAAGAGGAAGGAATTCGGTCCCACAGGGCTCTGACCAACAGCCTGGGCCGAGGGGCTTCTGTGTACCCAGGGAAAAGTGGTAATGCCTCTGCCTTGGGACAAATACCAGTGAGGATGTGGGATGCCCAGACAGGAGCTTCCACAGCCTGACGCATGAGGGAGGCGCCCTCCCACCCTACCTTTTAAGGCACTCGTGGAGGATCTGATATGGAGACAACAGCCCAGCCTTGCTGGTCAGCTCGTAGACCCGTGAGTCCTCGATACTGATGTGGTTAAAATACTACAACACAAAGCAGACGCTCGTGAGTCCTGACCGGGCCCACCAGCCTCTCAGAGGTAGGACTCTGCTGTTTGCTTCCCCCAGACACTTAGCATCTTTTCTTGTTCCCTCTCCTGAACACATCACAGCCCCACAACTCTGCTGGAAACCCACCAGAAGTGGAAGACGCTCTGCACCTACTGTCTGGCGGCCTATCTCCATGGCCCTGTGCCCTGCTCCCTGAGCATGGTACAATGGACAGCCTGGCGCCCAAGGGGACTCTGGGCGCATGGCCAGCTGGCCTGGGACGCCTCTTCTGAATCTGATTCTGATCACCAAGGGACAACTTGTCAGATACCTAAAGATAAACTTCCTTCAGGGAGAATCTTCATGATCATTATAATTGAGATTACAGCAGAAAGAAGGTAAGCCAGACAGGAAAGCTGCACTTGTAAAAGGCCAAGCTCTCCCAGGCTGAAGCCCCACAGAGAGATATGCTCAGGAATGGCCTGGCCAGGCTTGCTTCCAACAGTGTCAGCATCCTGGCTCTGCAACCATCACTTTGAGCAAAGAACAGAAAGGACAAGAAGGGTTAACGGAGTCAAGTAAACCACTCGAAGGGAAAAAGGGTAATTCTTCACAGCAAGGCACAGGGAGGCTGCAGCTAGAACGAGACAGCCACAGGTGCAGGAGACTGAGTGGCACACAGACCACAAGGACAGAGCCCACGGGAGGTGGCTTGGAAGTGCCCAGCCACACCTTCCCCTGACATGGCCTTTGGCAGAAGGGGAGAACTCCTCCTGGATGAATGGAAGATGCTGTCCAGCCCACTCTGGAGCACAGCCCACCTCTCTGGTGAGTCTGTGTTAGTCTTCTGGGGCTGCTGTAACAAAGTCCACAAACTGGGTAGCCTTAAACAATAGAAGTTTATTCTCCCACAATTCTGAAAGCCAGAAGTCTACTATGGAGGTGTGGGCAGGGCTATGCTCCCTCTGGAGGCCATGGGGAGGGAGGATGCTTCCTTGCCTCTTCCAGCTCTGGAGGACCTGGGCATCCCTTGGCTTCTGGCAGTATCGCTCCCATCTTCACATGACCTTCCCTCTTCCCTGTCTTTCTCCCCTCTTCTTATAAGGATACCAGTTATATTGGGATTAGGGTCCCAACCATTCTACTGCATTTATGACCTCATGTTAATTTAACTAATAACATGTGCAACAACCCTGTTTTCAAATAAGGTCACATTCTGAGGTACTGGAGATTAACACTTCAATGTATCCTTTTGGAGAACATAATGCAACCCAGAACAGGGTCCCCTTGAAATTCTGAGCAAAGATTAACTTTTCCCAGTTGACAAGCAAATATGAATGAAGAGCTACATCAGACATGACATAGTGGGGCCCTCCAGCCAGAGGGGGTCCACACTGAGCCCACACCCCTCACAGAGCTTCCCCCACCAGCCCTGTTCTAGATTTCTCCTACAGAAGAGATCTGGAGCTAAGGGTGAGAAACACCCGGGGCCTGGGACACACAAGAAAGTTTAGAATCAAACCATTCAAACACCTTGCTTTGCGGGTCTCACGGTTGTGCCACAATGACAAGACTGGCCCTGCAGACCAGGCGGTGGGGCAGGCTCCTCTGCCGTCGCCCTGCTCCAGTAAGGAGGTTGACACTGCTGACTGGATGGAGGGAAGAAGGAAGGTAGGTGCTGTCTCTGAAGAGGACTGCCAAGGCTGGCAAGCAGAAAATCCTCCTGGCATGGCTTGGCTATTGTCTTCAAAAAGGTCCCGGTAAGATATCTCTATTCTCAAGTCCCTGCATCAGTGTGGATCTGTTTCCAGGGAAAGTCATGCACCAAGATGTCAGGCCCTGGAACCATCCTCAAGGAGGCAAGGCAACCAGCCAATCAGTAATGTCTGGCTCTCTTGGCCTGTAAGGACCTGCTTTCTAACCAGCGGTCAGCACCTGGGCTGTGGGCCTGGCAACAGGACTGAGCAGGCAGAACGACCTGCATACCCTGCAGCTCCAGGATCCTCCCCAGCAGAGCCTAGGCCGCCACACACATGGCTGGAGAACACATGCTCAGAAGCACAAAGACATTAAACAGTCTCTAGCAAGAGATCCATGCTACGACAACCTGCACCAAGTTGCTGCAGGCCACACGCATTGCTGACAGTTAACCTGCCAGGAAAGCATAGAGGCTCCAGCTCATGAGAGCAGACAAATGGCAGAAGTGACCTACAGACAAGTCACTGTTCCTTCTAACAAACAGCACAAGAGAAACCTGAGTGATCAGTGCCTAGCAGATGTTAAAGGACCACAAGGGAGCACAACAAAAGACCAAACATCCATAAATTACTATCTAGTAAAATGGACTGATGCCTTGAAAAACACAAACTATGTGAATAGCCTGAATAGCCCTATAATTATTCAACGAATTGAATCTGTAGCTAAAAACATTCCCACCAGGAAAACTCCAGGCCTAGATGGCTTCTCTGGTGATGACTACCAAACATTTAAGGAAGAAATGACACAGATTCTATGCACCTTCCAAAAACTCAAGAAGAAGGACACATCTCAACTTATTTTATGACTCCAATGGTCCTGTGATATTAACACCAGGCAAAAAAAAAACAGTACAAAAAAAAAAAACCTATACACTAATATCTCTCAAGAACACACAAGCAAAAGTTCTAAACAGAATATAGACATATCTTGGAGTTCAGTTCCAGACCACCCAGTAAAGCAAATATTGCAATTGGTGAGTCACAATTTTTTTGGTTTCTCGGTGCATATCAAAGTTATGTTTACAATATACTACAGTCTACTGAGCATGCAACAGCATGTCTAAAAACCAATGTATATACCTTAATTAAAAATTACTCTATTTGGGCCGGCCTGCGGCTCACTCGGTAGAGTGCGGTGCTGATAACACCAAGGCCACGGGTTCGGATCCTATATAGGGATGGCCGGTTTGCTCACTGGCTGAGCGTGGTGCTGACAACACCAAGCCAAGGGTTGAGATCCCCTTACCGGTCATCTTTTTAAAAAAAAA